AAACATCAAAATGAGAAAAGGAAATTCTTATCGAGTTCTGTTTTGAATTTACTTACATCATTTATTTAATCCCCATAAAAGGCTTATAAAGCATTTTTTGCATTTTGCATTTTTACATTTTGCCTACTAGTTAACTCTTCACAACAAATTATGCCTCATGACTCTGGACATTTTACGGATGAGGAAGCTTAGATTAAGAAACAACCACACAGTAAGTAAGAAATGCACCTGGGATTCCGTATTCAATAGCTTTGGCCAGTAACCCATGTTCTTACTCACTATACATACTGCTAAGGTTATTTTAAGAGATTTGCTACAAAAAAAAAAAAAACTGCATGAATAAAAATCATGTGCCTTTGTTGTGGTCTTACTCTCTGGATTTTTAACAGTTCATAATCAATTATACAAAGAAGTCAATGATACATGCATCTTAAAAGGGGAAGATCAACAGGGATTACAATCAAACAGGAAATGATTTACATGGTTGCACTTACATGATGCATTGGAAACTGTAGGAATAGCAGGAAGGAATATGGACTTCTAAATCTATATTCATTAAAACAACAAAAATAATATTTAACAATTAAATGCTTAGCATACCCAATTCTGCTGTAAATATTTTACGTATAAATGCTTTTCAACCCTCACAGAAGTCTTATGAGGTCAATTCCTATTTTATTGTTGAAGAGACTGCTCCATGTAAGAAGTGATGTGTTCAAAGTCACAGAGCTAGTACACAGATTTCAACCCAGGGGGTCTGGCTCTAGAATCTGTGTTCTGAACTTCCATGCTATATAAACAGTATGTTTATACTCTAAGCCACTGACACGGAAACCAAGAGCTCAAGACTCCCAAAGCAGAGACTACCTTTGTAATTCTCATCTTTGATAATGACAATGGTTTTCTAATACAAATTAGTTAATACACAACCACAAGATTTTTAAAACAATGAAGAGTACTCAGAGGAAAATCTATACTATATGTTTATACAACGCAACACAAACTCTAAGATATATAAAAGTTATTTTAGGCTATGATAAATCAGCAGACATTATAAAGGACAAAAAAAATTTAGGTTCTAATTGCCATCAACAGGGCATTTAACACATAGATCTATATATGTGTGTTTATTATAGCAGTTAAGTGAGACTCAAAACCATAGTGAAGGTAGGGATTTAACCTAGCAATTAAGACACTGGTTATAACACCCATGATCCCCACTGAAGTGCCTGGGTTTCATTCTTGGCTCTAGTTCTTGACTCTAGCTTCCCGCTAATACAGACTCCAAGAGGGAGCAGGTGATGCCTCTAGTATTAGGATGCTGTCACCCACATGGGAGACCTGGATTTTGTTTCCCGCTCCCAGCTTTGACCCCAGTTCAGTTCTCACCAGTAGAGGAATTTGAGGAATGAACTTTATTATTAGATAGGAACTTTATTTGCCTGTCTCTGTCTCTCCTCCTCTCAAATAAATAAACGAATAAATTTTAGGGGGAAAAAATAACTAGAAAACCTAAGACTTCATTAAAGGAAATCACTGCAGATATTTTCAAAAGTTAGCATTTATATTATATTATACCTTTCAAGACATTTCACCCCACATTAAGTTTTGTTGAAATATATGCAAGTTAAATCATGAAAAGTTAAATACTCTCATGAGAGTATTTCAGGTATGGAAAGCCAAGACACTCTGGCAAGAAAAAAAAAAAAAAAAAACCACCTAAATGAAAGATCTCCGCAAGTGAGATCCCAGTGGAAAGCACAGGTCATCAAAGAAGGAGGTAGCTTTTTCTGAAGGGAGGAGAGAACTTTCACTTTGACTATGACCTTGTCTGAATATGATCAGAGTCGGTGAACTCAAACGGCTTCCATAGCCTTGGCAACTCATGACAAGAGCCTAGGGTGATTACTGATGCCATAAACAAGAGTGTCAATTTGTTAAGTCAACAACAGGAGTCACTGTGCACTTACTCCTCATGTAGGATCTCTGTCCTTAATGTGCTGTACATTGTGATTTAATGCTATAACTAGTACTCAAACAGTATTTTTCACTGTGTTTCTATGTGAGTGCAAACTGTTGAAATCTTTACTTAATATATGCTAAACTGATCTTCTGTATATAAAGAGAACTGAAAATGAAAAAAAAAAAATCATGAAAAGAAATTAGTTTATAGAGGCTGGTGCTGTAGCGCAGCGGGTTGACGCCCTGGCCTGAGGTGCCAGCATCCCATATGGGCGCTGGTTGGAGTCCTGGCTGCTCCACTTCCGATCCAGCTCTCTGCTATAGCCTGGGAAAGCAGTAGAAGATGGCCCAAGTCCTTGGGCCCCTGAACCTGCATGGGAGACCCAGAGAAAGCTCCTGACTCCTGGCTTCAGATCAGCATAGCTCTAGCCGTTGCGGCCAATTGGGGAGTGAACCAGCGGATGGAAGACCTCTCTCTCTCTCTCTCTCTCTCTCTGCCTCTCCTCTCTCTGTGTAACCCTTTCAAATAAATAAATAAATCTTAAAAAAATTAATTTATCACATGGTATTTTAGTATCTTAGTCCTACTTTGTTGTTAAATACTATAATTCTTTTTTTTTTTTTTTTTTTGACAGGCAGAGTGGACAGTGAGAGAGAGAGACAGAGAGAAAGGTCTTCCTTTCCTGTTGGTTCGCCCCCCAATGGCTGCTATGGCTGCAACAACCAGGCCAATCCATAGTCAGGATCCAGGAACTTCCTCCGGGTCTCCCATGTGAGTGCAGGGGCCTAAGCACTTGGGCCATCTTCTACTGCTTTCCTAGGCCATAGCAGAGAGTAGATTGGAAGTGGAGCAGCCAGGTCTTGAACTGGAGTCCACACGGGATGCTGGTACTGTAGGTGGCAGCTTTACCCAATATGCCACAGCGCTGACCCCACATACTATGATTCTTATGACCAAGGGACCCACTACTCTCCTTTCATACTATTACAGCTTCTCTAACATACTTAGTCGCTGTTGATCATTATATATAAACTCATTTATTTAGTGAAAACTGCTATACTGTCTAACATTCTTTACATGAAAAAGGCATATTATACTACCCTAACTGAATAATGCATGTTTTATGTAACTTACCAATTATATTTCAAATTAAAATATTATTTTAAAACTGACACCATGTTACATAAATTATGTGCCTGCACTGATGTGACCTGCATATTCCTATCGGAAAATCACCTTTAATAGTAACATTGGTATGTTTCAACATGCACTAGGATTAAGAGGAATTCAATTATTTGTAAGAAGACATAAACAGGCCTTAAATTTTTAAAGAACAAAATATATTCAGAGCATACCAAGAATAAAAACAGAAAACTACTAAAATAATGACTTTTTGCCATATTTCATTATAACATGTAATTGCAAGAAAAGATATCAGTTTTTGCTATGTGGAGAAATGGGCGATCTATGTATAGCCTCATATTATAATCTGTAAAAGGCAAAACTAAATGATTTTTCAAAACTCAAAGAAATAATCAAGAAAAACACATAGTGCTTATACTCCTTTACCAAATGTTAATAAATATCATAATAGGCAAAACCAGAGCTTTAGAGATAATGAAATTTAACACATTCTAGCTTCTTTTAATATCTTCCATCAGTTTCTTTTAATAATAAATAATAATCTTTAAAAGTTATGTGCCAGCTGAATTAATTACTCAGTCTCCACTATTTTAAAAGTGTACAAGGCACTTCCATGAGACGGTAGCAAGCCTACACCCAGCTTTCATGATTACTGATAGACAGACTCCACAGTTCTTTGGCAACCCTTTGTCGAGAAGAATAATCCTTAATTTACTATGTATTGCTTTTAGATAAGAGAAACACTATTTTTGTAAACTACCTCATAATCATTTGTATGTGTGTGTATGTGTGTTTGTGGGTGTGTATGTGGGGACTGGGAGTCTAAAATTATCTATCCTTAAATTAAAAGCAGAACAAACAAAGCTAAATACCTATTTGAGGGCTTCAGATAGTTGTTATAACAATTTTTTTTTTTTGCCATTAAAGCCACATGGCAAATTAAGGCACAAAAATTTAAAGATATCAAATATTAAATTGCCTACTTTTTGAATATACACATCCATTATGTCTTTATCATACCCTCTTTTTTACTTAAAATTCAGCAACACTGCATGATATCCCCTCTTTGAGAATGGACTTCCCCTTAAGAGACAAATTTTAATATTATGGAATCTAGACTCATAACTAATAATCTTTTTAATTAGCTACAAAAGGGTGTATCTGTGTTTTACTTTCGACAAGTAAAAAGAATGTCATGGCGTGCATTGGTAAACTTTAATCTCTTTGCTAGCATTATTTATTTCTTTATTATTTCCTTGATTAAATTTTTCTATTTTATTGTATTTACTTAGATTAGAGACGGGGTAAAGTGAAATAATACGAAGCTTTGGAAAAATTATGAAAATATTCATGCTAAAGCATCCTTTACTCTAAAGCATGTAGAAAGCATAGAAGATTAAGAAATAAAAAATACTTAATGACCATTATGAAAAACATTAGTGAAAGTAAACAACTAAAGTATGGAAAAATAAGTATGCTTGCCATGTAGATGAAAACACAAAGTAATTTCCGCCAATGTTGTAAGAACTTACTTTAATGTACTTAACGATAATACCAATGATCACAGTTTACATAAATAACTCATTTGCCAGTATTACTTTTGAGTGAAATCTATTTGCACTTTAACAATCTAACAATCTTTTACTGTACTATTTTTAAAAAGGCTCTTAATACCAAAATTACTAAAGTTGAAAGGATATTAAACTTTAGCAAAATAACTGTCACAGGTCAAAAGAATAATATGTGAAAATGAAATAGATGTACATGTATATACATAACATATATTGTAAAATATTTTACTTTCTTTTAATTGAAGTATTACCTGCAGATAGTAAAGCCTTGCACAGAGTATTATTTCATGTAAAAATGGTAGGGAACCAAATTGTGTACTCACCCTTCTCCTCCCATTCTTGTTATCTTCAGGCGAAAATCCACAGAATTCAGACTAGGAGGTTTCCACTTCAAAATATCATCACATCGGCCAGGTTTATATTTCTGTAGTGAATTAAAATGGTCATTAACAGTCAATAAGAAGCTAAAAAGTAAAGATTCAATTTATTAAACACAATATTACTTTTTTATTAAGAAAAACAACTACTTTTATCTTCAACCACCAAGTGACGCTTGATATCTATCTTCTTACTGATGGCCTTTCTCCTTTTCCTACCAAATACATGCAGAAAGTTTGTAAAAGTCCACAAGAAAAATAAAACCAGTTATTCTGGCCAATCGTTCTATAACTTCAAAGAAGAATGGTAATGGGAAAAACTATTTTTCTTGTTCAGCTTCACTGAGAGATAACTGACAATGAATAAAAGTTAACAGGACAAAGAGACACAAGTAAATACCCAGGAGAGTGAGATGACTGAGTCATACAATGTATGTCAGACTTTGTAAGAAATTCTTGGGGCCAGTGCTGTGGCATGGCAGGTAAAGCCACCTCCTGCAGTGCCAGTATCCCATATAGGCACCAGTACCAGTCCAGCTACTCCACTTCAGATCCTGCTCTCTTCCATGGCCTGGGAAAGCAGTAGAGGATGGCCCAAGCCCTTGGGCTCCTGCACCCGTGTGGGAGACCCTGAGGAAGCTCTGGACTCCTGGCTTTGGATAGGCCTACCTCTGGCCATTGCAGCCACTTGGGGAATGAACCAGAGGATGGAAGTCCTCTCTCTCTGCCTCTGCCTCTCTGTAACTCTGCCTTTCAAATAAATAAATAAATCTTTTTATTTGTTTAAAGAAAAAAAAAAAAAAAACAGTCAAACTATTTTCCAAAGTGGCTATAACATCCATCCCCACCAGCAACCTAAGAGAGGTCCACATCTTCCAAGGACAAACTAGGCCCTTCTCAACTTTCTAATTCTAGTCATTCTAAAGTGTGTGTCTCGTAATTTCAATTTGTGGTGCTCTAATGACAAAAGATGGTAAAGACCATTGCATCTGCTTGTTGCTAGCTGTATGAATTCTTTTGATGAAGAAATTGTTCAGATATTTTACTCTTGTTTTTACTAAGCCTTTTCTCTCATTGTTGGCGTTTAAGAGTTGTTTATATATTCTGGACAAATACCCTTGGTTGTATATATGTACTACAGATATTTTTTGACCATTGATGACTTTCCTTTTCATTTTCTTAACAATTTCTTTTGAAGAGCAAAAATTTTCTTAGGAAATGAAAATTCTTCATCTTTTAAATTACGTAATTTGTGCTTTGGTATCCTACTTAAGGGATATTTCCCTAACCTAACGTCACTACAACTTTCTACCATGTTTTTATTAGAGACGGTTTACAATTTTACCTCTTATTTTTTTTTTAAGTATATGATCTATTGAAGGTTTATTCATTTATATGCTGTGAAGCAAAAAGTTGGGTTCACTGGCAAATGAATCAAATAAATCCACAACCATTTGTTGAAAAGACAATGTTTTCCTCACTGAATGGTCTTGGTTCGTTTGTCAGTAATCAGCTGTTCAGGGACAGCAATTGGCCTAGTGGTTAAGCCAACAGTTGGGATGCCCACTTCCCATGAAAGAATGCCTGGGTTCAAATCCTAGTTCTGTCCTGATTCTAGCTTTCTGCTAATACATATTCCAGGAGGCAGTAGTTAATGGGTTCACCCATATGAGAGACCTGCAGCCAGGTGCTGGCTTCCAACTTTGGCTTAGCCCAGTTCAGGCTCTCTTTGTCGCTCTAAATGAAGAAACAAATAATCAGGTGATTGTTTATAAGTATAAATATATCTCTATTCTCACTTATCTGCTGCTTTGACAGATAAGCCTCTCTTCCTGTTAAGAGCATGCTATCTCTATCACCATAACTTTATAAATTTTGAAAATAAGTTCTGGGAACTGGCGCTGTGGAGCAGCGGGTTGACACCCTGGCCTGAAGCGCCAGCATCCCATATGGGCGCCAGTTCTAGTCCCACCAGCTCCTCTTTCGATCCAGCTATCTGCTATGGCCTGGGAAAGCAGTAGAAGATGGCCCAAGTTCTTGGGCCCCTGCACCCGCATGAGAGACCAGGAAGAAGCTCCTGGCTCCTGGCTTCAGATCAGTGCAGCTCCGGCTATTGCAGCCAATTGGGGAGTGAACCAGCGGATGGAAAAATCTCTCTCTATATATCTACCTCTCTCTGTAAATCTGTCTTTCAAGTAAATAAAATAAATCTTTTAAAAAAAGAAAAGAAAAGAAGTTCTGGAAGTCCTCGACTTTATTATTCTGATTTCAATCTTGCCCAACCTTGGCTGATGTGGGAATCTGAGGAGTGAATCTGTGGATGGAAGATCCCTCCCTCTCCTCACCTCCACCCCACAAGTCTCTCTGCCTTTCAAATAAGATGAAAATTTGATTTACATCTCTTTAAACACATCTCAGCAATGCTCTACAGATTTGACTATGCAATTTTTGCACAAGTTATTCAACTTATTCCTAATAATTTGTTTGGTGATAAGGTAACACAAAAATTGTTTTGTTTCCATATATTAGCACCGAAAACATGAAAACAAATTAATGAAAGTTACAATAGCATTTAAAAGAACTAAATACTTAGGAATAAACATAACCAAGGAAGTGAATGACCTGTATAATGAAAGTTACAGACAAAAGAAGTTAAAGCCCAAAAATGGAAAGATATCACATGTTCATGGATAGGAAGACATAATATTGCTAAGATGTCAATACTACCCAGAACAATCTATAAATTCAATGCAATGCTTATCAAAATTACAACAGCTCTTTCAGAAAAATAGAAAAGCTAATCCTCAAATTCACATGGAATCTTAAGAGGTCACACAAGCACTAACATACTCTTGAAAAAAGAAGAACAAATTTGAAAGAGTCCCACTTTCCACTTTCAAAAACTTAGCACAGGGGCCGGCGTTGAGGTGGAGTGGGTTAGCTTGCCACCTATGGCACTGGCATCCAAAATTGGTGCTGGTTCAAGTCCTGGCTGCTCCACTTCTAATCTAGATTGTGGCTAATGCTCCTGAAAGCAGCAGAAGATGGCTCATTATCCTGGGCTCCTGCACAGAGTTCTTGGCTCCTGGCTTAAGCCTGGTCCAGTCCCGGCCATTGTGGCCATTTGGGGAGTGAATCAGAGGATGGAAGCTCTCTCTTTTTTTGTCTCTCCCTCTAACTCTACTTTTCAAGTAAAATAAGGACATCTTAAAAACAAAAACAAACAAAAGGAAAACCACCATAGCACAAAGCTACAGTAAACAGCTTTGTGTTACTGATTTATTTATCCAGTGTTGTTGATTTTATTTTTTAATCAAAACAGACATATAAAAGAATGGAACAGAAAATTACAGGAATAAATCTACACATCTATCAAAGGGTATCACATCCATTCAATGGGAAACAAATATTATCTTTAATAAACAGTGTTGGGACAACAGAATTTCCACACACCGAATAGTCAGGCTGGACCCCACATCACATCATAAACAAAAATTAACAAAAATGGATCAACAAACTAAATATAATAGCTAACACCAGAAAAAGAAAAAAAAGAGTAAATCTTCATAACCATTTGGAACAAAGAAGCCACACCCCTACCTCACACCTACTTCACATATACTCACTGCTAAAATGAATGTAAAATCATAATATAACAGCTAAACTAGAAAAGTTGTTTTTAAAAAAACATAAAGGTAAATCTTCAAGACATGGATTTAGCAATATATTTTTAGAGCTAATACCAAAAGCATAAGTAACAAAAAAGGAAGAGATAAATTGGATTTCAACAAAACTAAAAATCTTGGTGTATCACAGGACATTATCAATAAAGTAAAAAGATAACTTATAGAATGGGAGAAAATGAATGCAAACTATGTATTTGATAAGGATTTAATCATCAGAATATATAAAGAACTTCAACAACTCAAAAGCAGAAAGGTAAAATATCTAATTCAAAAATAGCCAAGGCGCTTGAATAAACATTCCTCCAAAGATACACAAATGGCCAATAAGTACACAAAAAGATGCTCAACATCATTACTCATTATGGAATTGCAAATCAAAACCAAAATGGAATACTATTTCACACAAATAAATTCCTGTATACTTGCTTAGAATAAAAATTTGTTAGAAATGTTAAAAATAGAGACCGGCACTGTGGTGCAGCAGGTTAAACACCAGCATCCCATATGGGTGCTACCAGCTGCTCCACTTCCAATCCAGCTCCCTGCTAATGTGCTTGGGAAAGCAGCAGAGGATGGCTCAAGTGCTTGGGCTCCTGCCACCTATGTGGGAGACCTAGATGTGGCTCCTGGCTCCTGGCTTTGGACTGGCCCAGTCCTGGCCGTTGCAGCCATCTGGGGAATGAACCAGCAGATGGAAGACTCTGACTCTCTCTCTCTCTGTTTCTCCCTCCTTCTTTGTAACTCTGCCTTTCAAATAAATAAATAAATCTTCAAAACAAACAAAAAAGAGATTAATGAAACATTTTGTCACTAGTGGTTGTCCAGAGAATAGTGTCATTTGTTTGTATAGTGCTGTCCATTGTAGTCATTTGGGGAATGAACCAGCAGATAGAAAATTTCTTTCTCTCTAACTCTGCCTTTCAAATAACATAAATAAATTTAAGGAAGAGGGGTAAATTTTTCAAGTTGTTGACTCACAAATAAAAGCAGATAAACAATTCTAGCAATAAAAGTATAAATAAATAAAACATTGATTTAAGCTATTAAACTTAGGAAAATTTAAGGATTACAGTTTTGAAATATCTCATAATAGGTACTGCTATGGTTTGAATATGTCCCCTAAAGTTCACGTGTTAGAAACTTAACCCCCAAATTCCTGTGTTACAGATTCTTAAGGTGGGCGCCAGGGCAGCAATAATGGCTTTTTAAAAGAGCGCACAAGCTTGCTCTGTCTTGCCACGTGATGCCCCTGCCATACTATGACACAGCAAGAAAGCCCTCCTCAGACACGGAACAGATGTTGGCACCATGTTCCTGAACTTCCCAGCCTCCAGAACCAGGAGACAAATAAACTTCCATTC